TTTTCCTGTGCGTAATATAAACTTTTTTGTGCGTTTTTTCATTTTTCAATGTTTTTTTTGTTGTTGTTTCGTTTTTCTTTTATTCCATTTTCTTTTACCTCTCACTCCCCCCATTCCTTCTTTTTTTTGCTTTAAAATATTTTTATTGTTTTTTTTTTTTGGTTGTGCGTTTTTCCTTTTTGTTTTTTATTTCTCAATTTCTTTTTTTTTGCTTTTGGGGCAATCACTATGGACGTGTTTTCTTTTCTACTCTTCCCTCTTTAATTGTTTCTTCTGCACTCCTCCTGCGAGGGGTGCCGTGTGTTTCCCGCCCAACTGCTCCACTCGCACACCCACCGACACGCTCATGACGACGGCCCTGTGCGCCTCGCCTGCTGCACGCATGAGGAGGGGCCGCGACGAACGGCGCGCTGAGGGAGCCGTGACGTGTGGGCGTGCGACGAGGGCCTGTGGGGCGGCGCACACATTTCTTCCCTCTTGTTTTGTTTTCTTTGCGGCCAGGGCGGGCAGACACCCGCAGCGCCACACACACAGCCACACCCTGCCGCCGTGTTTTTCTTTAAGGATTTGTTTTGCTTTGCGTGTTTCTTTCATGCGGTGGCGCACCCTTCGGTGTCGGCCTCGTGAGCATTTCTCTCCCCTCCGATGATTTCTTTTTCTGCGCTCACTCTCCCGATGGAGTGACGCGACTCCCGTCATGTCTGCGTGCTTCTCTCAGTCCCACACACACGAGTGACTGTGCTCTGCGGGCCGCACTCACGCGCCGATGAGAGGGCTGAGGGGAGCAGCAACACGCAGATGACCCCATGAAATATAAACGATGTGCGGACACACGGAGGGTCGGACGGTCGAAGCACACGCAGCCATCTTTTTATTTTTCTTTTGCGGGCAAAATACATACAGACAGTTTGGTGTGGCCACGCGGCAGCCAGGCGATCTTTTTCTTATTTTTAAATTTGTGTGGAGCAGTAATGGACGATTTCTTTTTCATTTATAATTATTTTGTGTGGTGGGGTTTACGTAAGACGAAGGGGACGTTTTTTTGTTTTCAGTAAATATTGTGTGAATTGCCGCTGCTTGGGCTGCAGTGCAGTCATGAGTTTGAGCGGTCTTCTTGTTGTTGTTTCCGTTATGCGTCTCCGCTGTACATTTTTGTGCGTCCCTCCACATACTCTGCTCCCTCTTTTCTACGTCTTTGCTTTGTGTTTCTGCAGGCACACACAACCACACACACACAAGATGCACATTGCAGTGGATATGAATGCACCTTTTGTAGTGCATGCTGGCAGTTGCGTGTGGCGGCTGTTGTCTTCTTCCGTGGCCATGAGGAGGGGAGAGGGAGC